GGCAGGGCGCTCATCGGGAATGAGGTTTTGCATCGGCCCTGGAAAATAACGTTTTGACCCAGTGACAAGTTGTTCTGGGCAGGACTGAAGCACATGGCGCTCGCCTCCAGGCAGCACAATGAGACCTGGTGTTTTGCCCCATTGTTGGAGCAGTGTGCAACACAGAGCTCTTCGTTTCATAGCTGTCATAAGAGTTGTAGCATTGATTAAAAATTATAGGCAATCTAGTTAGAGTATGCAAAATGGAACCGTTAGATTTTTATTCAAAACACCAACGTGGTGATGCTACATTGAACCTCAGAGGTCACTCCATGTTAAGTAGCGAGATTCACCTCTGCATTATTTGCAAAATACCATAGCCTCACTGGTGCAATAGAATTTGTTTTTGATTTTGTAATGTTACATGCTATAGGGAAATAAACTTTTATGCTGTTTTGTAAGGATATTGATGAAGAGATAAAATCCTTTGCAAATTGTAGCATTTTTTAATTAGAATTAATCCTGGCAGGTCAGTTTTATAATGGATCCTTGCAAATACTATAATTGAAGTATGTAACCTGTGGACAGCTGTTAAGATGAATGTTTCCATAACAACCCCCAGCTACCGCGGGTCCACAGTGACACAGGATACTGTTTCTATGGTAATGGAATGTCTTAGTCACAGGCTTGCAGGGAAATCCATTATGAAAAGTAGCAACTCGTATATTAGATTAGGGGGAGTTTCTTGCTTACATTTACCTGTATCTAGCCTCATCTTTCCACTTTTATCTTATGCCCAGACTGCAGAATTTTTAGGTTGGAGAGACACCCACTTTGGGTTGCTTTCCTGAAGAAACTGAAGCTATGCAATCACACTCTCCATCCATCTAACTTTTGAACCCGAGGGTTAATTTTAATCAAATCAGACCGTGGAACTTCAAAGAGGCTTCAAAGATATGCCTCAGGTTCCATGGAAATCAGAAGACAGGGAAGAATCAGAAACACGAGGTAGTGGCATCGTAGGGAGAAAGTCTATACTGTGAATCTAGTTACTGTCTGTTTGGCTTGCTGCTTGGCCAGGCAGCCACAAGAATGCCAGTCCTTTTATACCTTTAAGGTAATACAGAGAAAACCTCTTCTACCAGGAGTCAGCTTTTGTGTTAAGTTAGCTTTAAAAAGAGTAGTAGGGTGACACTGCTGTTTAACATAGAACATTAGGTCCATGCTTAATGCTAAGGTGGCCTGGATTTGGTTCATGCACAGATGTTACAGAGGAGAAGAATTCTTTGTGCTTTATTCCATGTTCCTGCATGCTGAGTATCCTACACATTTGCAAAGCCGCTGCAAGTTATTCATCTCCAGTCAGGTTTACCAGGTATCAGGAATATCTTAACTCATGGAATTAACACTTAGCAGATTCACAACAGAACTTCTGCACAGCCTCTCATCTGAAATTAAAACTAATACAATTAAGAACTCCACTGTCACATTTCATCGCTTATTTAAGGATTCTTTAATAACTTGTAACAGAAAAAAAGGACATGGGAAAATATGCCCACACTTTTGCATACACTGCATTATGGACAGAAAGTTGTAATTAAATATAACACTGCATTATCAGATTGGCCATTCCTGTAAGTACTCAGTGACATAAACTGAAGTGCCATGAGCACAGTCTGAGTCAGGGTGAAGTGAGTGGTTAGTCATTGAAGAATTTTTTCAGCATATACACAGTATTTGAGGGCAAGAGGATATCAAACATGAATAGGTGAAAAACTGCTGATACAGTTTTCATGTCTGCTTTTGAAAATCAGAACCATTAATGGCAACAGTACATTACAAAAAAGACATGATTGTCCAATTACTGCTATTTTAAAATACCAAGATCCTTCGTAGCTATGGAAACAAAAATGCAGACATTAATGAGTGTGGGGGGGAGGGGTGACTGGTGTTTCCGTGACAACAGATAAAAGCAAAGCTCCACGAAGCCCGAAGGAGAGAATCATGGAAACAGCTTCTACCTTCAGATAGAACTGAACAAGTCTAGTGGCTGGGGACATTTCTAATATTGAAACTAGCCAGTAGCATGAGGCATTTTGATACGTTCTATTGATTATCCTCAAGAGGGTAAGAATTAAAATCGCATGTTAAAGCCTGTGATGAGGAGTGCTCTTGTGGTACATGTGTAATAGATGACTGTTGTGTGTAGAAAACTAGAGTGCGCTGAAAACTTCTGTGACAACAGGCACAAGACATAAGGGATGGGTCCCCATCCAGACTGCTCCAGGTGCTTTGCAATGTGAATGTGTCTAACATACTCTAAAAGAAAGCTATGGACAGAATTGATGCTACTGTTTCATGATCAGATGTTGTCTGGAGAGCAGCAGTTATTCCCTGGAGTGCATCACAAAGTCTCAGCTTCTCAGAAAATCCAAAAATATTTTTTATCGAAGGTACCCAGAATTGTAGGCCAAAAAAAAAAAAAAAGGGAGGTCTTATGATACAGGTAAACAAGAGCACTTCAGTAATATTACAGGGCTATTCTTCAGTGGCTACTATGCAGCATTATAGAACAAAGATATTTTAAAATAAATTTATGAAATTAAAATAAATAGAAGAGTTAAATCGCAAATTCCATGTAGGTAATTTGGAAGAAATTAGTCTTCAAAAAGATGTCTTCCTTTGAATCTGTCCAGCTTATGGTATTGAGAGCATCACTTCATAGTCAAAGCATATCAGTTCAAAATCCTATTTTTTGTGTCTACAGCAATAAAAAGCTAGATACTAAGCTATAAAAATGTAGGGTTTCCTTGACAACATGTTGAGAAAAAACACAACAGCATAAGAGCTTGTTGAGAAAATAAAGATGTAGTTGCCTGATTGATGTGGAACATGACCATGAAGCTTTTGATGGGTTTACCTATGTGACTTGTAGAGGTGTGGGGTCACAGTGATGGGAATACTGTGTTTCAAAATTTCTAGTTACTGATGTTTCATTTTACTGTTTTTGACACTGATCCACAGCTTGATTAGAGTGATGAATGACCCTCTCGAAAGTTAGTCTCATTTCCTGTAAAGTGTGTTTATATGGTGGATTTTAGAAGATTTCTGAATATTATCAGAAGTTACATTTTTCCATGACAAATAAGAAACAGATGGAAAAAATAGTATGACTGCACTCTAATTTATCTATGTGTAAAAGACTAACTGGCTAGCTGACTTTTGAGTTAAAGCAAATGTTCCTTTAAAAGCTATATTTTTTCTTTATGTTATCATAAAGATAACATAATTTTACATTTTAAACATTTATTTAAATGCACTGTAATTGTAATTACTCATATTTATGATATGATATTGTATGATAGAGTGTGATATCCCTTGAAAATACCATAGCTTATCAGCAGTCTAAACGATCTGCAAATATCATTCCTACTGCTCCTGAGAAATGTTTATTTTGTAGAAGAGGCAACACAGGGACCTCCATTTTCACCCTTTCAGCTGTCAGCAAAAGAATGACTTGAGCGAGGAGGAATACTTGGAGCATTCTTCATTACCACCCTATCTCCCAGTACCTCACCAGCAAAGCTAGACTCAACCACCTGGTTTTTCTCACAGGTGTCTTTAAGTTTTTCTCTTGACTCATGGACTGTCTTTGTGAAGCAAGGCATAAAGCAGTCCCTCACCAGGCCTGCTCATGCTGAAATAATAATAATTAAAACAAACAAATCAATCCAGTATGATGATTCAGTCTATATATTTAGAGCCTTACCTAAACACATGCTAGCTAAATTTGAGGGAAATATCTGTGGACTTGGAAATTGCTGCAAGGCTATAGCTAGCCTATGTTTTTGTTCTTCTTTGTGTGAGTGTCTACATGCAGCTGCACTGTTGGGGTATAAAAAACACCCTGAGCTCTTTCAACTGGAGTTCTTTTAGTGAAATGCTTAGGCTGTATGCACAGCCAGCTGAACCTTTTCATTTTTGTGATTGCACTTTCTCAGCAGCACTTGACTCTTTTCCCTATGGGGTCCATTACTTTAGCCGTGTGTTTTATTTTTTACTTTGTACTGGCTTTTCTTTGGCTAGTAGACCCATATATGCATCTAATGAAGCAATGTCTCCCTTCTGCTGCTCCAGCACATTTTTGTCTTTTTTTTTTTTTTCCTGCTCTGACCTGACCAATATGTGAGGACTATGCTCCTCTTTAGGAGGGCTACTCTTGCTGTCCAAGCAAACTGTACAAAAGTGCCATATGAATCTTAGTAGCAGGAAGTACATACACAGTACTGATATAAGGGTAATATTTAGGTCTATAGTTTACTTGAATGCCTTCATTCCTCCCACTTTGATTATCTTTTATTATATTCAAACTCTTCCAAATTTTAAATACTTGCTTTAAGGCAGTCTGTAAGCTTTCTTAGCTGTGTTATGTGGCAAGACATATTACGTTAAATACCACAGTGCAAATGCATCTTGGGTCAAATGAAAGCCATGTAGGCAACCATAATTTCTGTATGTTTACACTTAACAGTCACTTTGTACCTTAACATTTTTCATGATTAGGAAAGTTTTATTTCTTGTGATTTGGAGAAGAAAAAAAACGTATAAAACTATGATCATGCTTTCTGATTCCTGCACAGCTTAGCAGTGCATTTGGCTGTTTGCATCTACAAAACAAACATTGCTACTTGTCTTAATTAACCAACAGCAATATTATCTTGTAATCCTTTATGTGGATTAGCACCCAGAGGAGGGTTAGATACATTTGAACATTAGTCTTCAAATGTCACTTCAAAAAACTTGAAGTGGCCAATATCATGGCAGAAATTATGAATACTATAGCAGCTTGCAAAAACTACAAATTATACAATTACAGTGGCCATGAGATCCTCAGAATAAACCAGTAAAAAATATATCTCAAAGCTATTTTCTCAGGCTATATATCTTGTTACTATGCTTTATAAACTGTGTTCAAACTGTATTTTTTGTGTTTTTAAAAAAGTAGTTACATTGAAGATTCAAATGACACTACCCATTAATGATGCACAGTGTTCTTCAGTTGAAAGTGCATGAAGATTTAGAGTTTAGAGAAATATTAATCAGAAGGATTAAATCTAGTTTTACTTATACACACACAAAATTACAATATAAGGAAAATGATCAGTTTTACTGAACTAAGCAATTTTCGTTTGCTACATCATGTTGTACACCTGCATTGTTAAGGTGTGTAGTAATGTAACTCTGCTGCGAGCTATACTTTTCTCTCTAAACTTTTACTTTTCTGTCCTAACTGGAGCCACAGACATTTCTCTGGAGCTGACTTCAACCATAAGAAGTTGAAAATCTGTGTTTCAAAACCTATGTTCTGTGTCTCCCTTTTTGGTCAGAGACACCTGTGAGAAGTGTTATCACTTGTCTTACAAAAAAATCACCCCACCTCCCCAATTCATAAGCATTTATATTCACTTTCTGTAGTGCTAGCAATAATATTTTAGCTTAAATAGCATTTTCTCCTCCTCCCCCTTGGTATTATGGAGAACAGTCCCCCTGTCTCATTCTTGTTGACCTGCTTTATATCCAGTAGTTACAACATTCAGATCTGTTTTCTGTCTCATTTGGATTTGAATCAGTAAGCCTGATGTACTGTTAGACTATTGAATAAAAATGGGTTACCAGAACATCTTTTTTTTTTTTTTCTTGGCTATGTTTTGTGGAATATTCAAGGCAATAGTCATGTCCTAAGATTTCGTACATGGCTGGTGACACAGTGGCTGCTATGGCTATGGTGTCACTCTGCTCTGCGCTACCAAGATTTGAGTAGCTATTTAGCATGTTTAAAGACAGGGCCCTTTACAGTTTTACTGAGGAAATCTGGATGCCTTTAGGAATATGGGCCCATGTGGGTTAATTTTTAAAAATGCTGAAAAAAATGGTAATAAAATGTTAATTATATATAAAACCAAGGATCTTCCTAAATACTTCTTAATTTATATTGTTTATTTTAGAGGCCCAGGAGGAAATCTGAGTAGATTACATTTATTAAGGTTAAAAAAAAAAACTTTTGAAAAAGAGAAAAGAAAAAAAAAGTAATCATTTTCATTGGTGCCTGATTTTTTTTTAACTGTTTGCAAATCTTCAGTGTAATGGTTTGAAACCCAGTCGTGTCATTTCTTTACGCCCACACAGAGCTGCAGTAGTGCAGACACTGTAGCAGGCAAACCATA